AAGAAGTAGGAGTTACAGTCATGGCAGCCTGATTTCCAGTCTTTACAGTCAGTGGATTTGTGGCAGACTGTTGTGTAAAGCTGCTCTTGGCAATTTGTTGTTGCTGTTGTGGTTGCACTTGTTGCTGCTGAACTGTCTGTGGGAAACTCTGTTGCTGTTGCTGCTGCTGACCAAGAGGAAAGCCAGAAGCATCTTTCCTTTCTGGAAGCTCAGATTTAACAGCAACTGCTTTGGTTGTGGAAGCACAGTGTAAGGCAAGGTTCTGCACCTGAGAGATGAAGAAAGGAGCAGCGTGTGATCAAATTTAAATAGTTCTTCCTTCACAACCATTTCTTCAAGATTACATGGCTAGAGCATTTGGTAAAAGCACACAAACCTGATCATTGTCAGACTGGGTGCTAGCACCGGTAGAAGCAACTTCGTGCTGTTGTTGCTGCTGCTGGGGCTGAGTTTGAGCAACTGCTGCAACAGTAGCAGTTGCTGGGCCACCAGGCATGAAGATGAGCTGAGAACGGTTGACCTATGTGGGAAACAGCAGAGATGGTTAACCTTTATTTCTCTTAATGACTGCAAGAAAGATTTAATGATTTCCCTGCATTTTCTCTGGATTGTCAGTGTGAATTTTACACAAAGGTTTCCAACCGTTCTTACTATATCATAACAATATGTTACATAAATTAATTCAAAGTATATGCATTTAATAGATTTTGTGGATAATCAGTTTTAACCCACTCTAAGATACATCTGTCCCGGTCCTGCTGAGTTTCCACCCAGCAGCACTGACTGGTTGATAGCAGTTTTGGTTGCAGAGGTGGCTGGACCATGAGGACGAGGACTGGACATAGTCCCTCCCGCAGAGGTGGTGCTTAGATTGACCTGGAAGGCACACACATATTTATATTTTAACTCAAACTTTAAGAGAGCCAAGGCTGAGGTGTTTTGAACATGTACAGAGGATTGATAGTGGATATATTGGACAAAGAATACTGAATATAGAGCTGGTAAGTAAGACGAATAGAGGAAAATCAGAGAGAAGGTTCGTGGATGTAGTGAAGGAGGACATGCAGATTGTTGGTGTTACAAAAGAGGAAGCAAGGGATAAACTGTGATGAACATAAATGATCCGTTGTGGCAACCCCTAAAGGGTGCAGCTGAAAGAAGATTCAAATCTTTCTAATTATCTGTCAGATATAATTAAATAATAATTTACAAAAACTTACAGTGGTGGGCACTTGGGAGATGCTGTTACTTGGAGTATTGGACTGGCGACTAGCAGCAAGTGTGGCCTGTTTTAAAGAGACATGAAAAGGTTTGATTGGGACATGTCTGTTTGTTTTTATTTTAGTCTTTTTCTTGTTGTTGTGCATGTATATTCTTGTCATACCTGTTGCACAGCAGCTAAGTTGTGGAACTGAGCACTATTTGCGATCTGCTGCTGCAGCATGAGCTGCTGGAAGTACTGAGCAGCATTAGGCTGTCTTTGCAGAGCTTGCAGAGCCTAAAAAAAACACATACATACTTATTTGGCTAATACCAATTCAAAAGTTTGTTTTTCATTTTTTAATTTAAATGGTACTGTTATTGTAACATGTAAAGCATTCGTTTTGTTAACATTTGGACACAATCACTCACCTGTACAGCCTGTCTCTCATACAGAGACATGCGGGCTATCTGTGGTGCATGAGAATTGCCACTTGTCTGAGAATTTCCATTGTTGGTGCCTGTATTTTGGTCTTCACCTGCATCCATGTTTACTGCTCAAAACGAAAAGGCCAATCATCAGAAGTAGCTGTGTCAACAGTTTTAACTATAAACGATCTATATGGTGTATTTGCTATTTCTCACTGTGGGTACAGAGAAAAATAAAGAAAAAAATAATTAATAGACGACAAATGAAATGATTAGTCACTAAATATAAACAAAGGCGGATTATTAAACGTCCTTTGTTGGACTGCACCCTCAAAGTTTCCAATTGATTGTTTATGTTTTTAAAGTGCAGCAGATTATTCGCTCTTGTGGGCATATCACGAGTTTTTACTATCGTGGCAAGCAGGAGCATTGTGGTATTTTCTACAGCAGGCCTGTTGTCAAGATGATAGATGGGTAGAAAAGAAAGACCAACATGGAGGAAAAGTTGAAAATAGCAAAGGAAGCTAGCTATCCAGCGATGGCTAACTACAAAGGATTACACAGGTTTAACGATCTCTCGACACTAGTACAGTATACCATAGTTTAAAAAATGCATTCCCGTGTGCAGCAAAACTCCGAATGCATATATAGAAAAATGAAAGTAGATGAGTCGTTTGTTTGACGCAAACACCTAACTAAAAAACATAAACAGAGGCTAACTAATTAGCAATGCTATCTGTTTTCTGCAGAGAGAAAGCAAGCAGCTAGCTGACTATTACTGCTGCTACATGTCAGAGCTTAATGCCTTTCGGTGTCCGTTTGTGTCTACCTCTTCTTGGCTTTCCGTCCTTTTCACAGTTAAATTGAGTTCTTTTTCGGATATTGGTTGTAGCTGCCAACAACGACAGGGATTTCTAGGTTTTTTGCCTCCAACAAAACCCCGCCCCTCACAAAGCAGTTCTTTTCCCCTCCTTCTTCTTCTTTTTTGGATATTCTGGAAGACTGTAAACCATTGTTAACAGACGGACGGAGCCACCTACTGTTTCAGTGTGTAAACTGCATCGAAATCTATTTGTGTACTTTGGCAAACAAACTGGGATTTATGCAATTAGTTTTTATATGTTTTTTAAAAACTTACAGCGAGCTAACCTTTGTAATGAATAGAAGTACTTTTGATAACTACAGTATTCTGCAAAAGACACTCTTCATTTCTTTATATTTTCTAGGAGTCATACACTAACCTTTTAGTGATTCAAGCATAAAAAGACGCCTAGCCTAAATCTTCACAGTGTTCCCAGAAACACTGTCAGTACAGTGAAAACATACCTCCCCATAGCCTGGACCTCAATTTTACTGAAGGAGTGCGGGATTATTTTGACAACGGAGCAAAAATTACCCAACACCTAAAGAAGAGTTTTGAATGTCTTCAAGAAGCCTGGAGGACTATTCCTGAAGGCTACTTAAAAATTACAAGAAAGCTGCTAAAAGATGTGTGCTCAAGAATAAACATTGGTCATGTCTGAGCCTCTTTCTCCATGTTAGTTAACAACAGTTTATCACTATAAGCGCTTAATTGCACCTAATTTAATACAAGGTTTATGACTATTCTAGTTTATGAATGCATTTGTTTATATAATCCATTATTTCTAATATAACCTAATTTATTCCATCAAATCCTAAAAGATGAGTGCACATAGGTTTATGGAGTTATCACAGCATAAACTAGTTTTATCATTTCTTTTTAATAGAATCAGAAAAAAAAAACAAAGATTTGTGACTTGTGTCAACTTTTAGCCAAACATAACATTAATCATATGAAACCTCAGACCAGTGAACTAAGCAAAGAAAATTCAGTGTTAACACAAAAGCGAAAAAGACCAAATATCAGTGCTCACAGTGAATACAAGTAGTAACTCAATGATAATTAATAGAAAAATAACACTCATGTCCTGTTCAAAAAAAAAAAGCCTGGTTCAGTCCTTAGCAGCACTGATGTTTAGGTTTATGTAAAAATATTATAAATCCCAAGTTTAAAAGTGTAACATTTTTACAACTAGAGTACTGAAAATGAAGTACCCTCATTGCTGCCGTATGTATCTCCTACTGCAGCCTGAACATGAGTCTATAGTAGTAAGGTGGGTACATGTAGCACTGTTTCTGCGCTTTGGGTCAATTTCACCACATCAAGAAGCAGGTCAGCGTTTAAGCACTATAATGTTCATTATTAAACTGTTTTGTGATTATTAAAATGTAAATATTCCTTTATATTTGATTATTTCATGAAAAAGCACAGAAGACAATTTCTGAATAAGTATAAATAGCAGAATTCAGATATAATTGCCTTCAAATTCTCATCACATTTAAATGACAAAAGATACATTAAGTGAATTTAATTTTGAATTTTAGTTGGATGCTTTGCTCCTCACCACAAATTTCGTTGGTATTGCGTCAGCACCACTGACCTCTGACAAAAATTAAACTGTGGAGCTCAGATTTCAGTCAAGCAGCCGACCTTCTGACTGGGATCTTAGCGCCAAGCTTCTCTGCAACATGTGAGAAAGGACGACGCCCAGCTAAAAATCAAATTCAGTTCAACTTTGGTTTGTTTGCACTGATTTCTAAATGTGTGGTAAGGCTGTAAGTACAGTCCCTGTACTTAAACATTTACATTCACATGTTACAAACCTGACTTTTTAACCTAAACAATAACTGTTTAAACTGCACACACATTTATTTGTATGCCTGTGAACATTAAGCAAGCTCAACCCAAATAAACACAGAGGGGTGTACTATGAAGCCAGATTAATGGGTTAGCGAGGTATGTTGGGCTTTCATTCACTCTCTTTTTAGCATCTTAACTACTGTCATACACGTAGCCTGGTCCTGCGCAGCCTTTCGGTTTGTAATTGAACTGAAAAGCCACATTTTCACTGATTCTCTTATTTACAGTAAGCTTTAGCTGCAATACAGATTCTCTGCTGTAGGAATGTCATTTATCCAGAATATAAAACCTGTTGAGACACTTCTAAAACAGCACTGCAGATTCTAACTGGAATATTCAATTTTTCTTTTATAAATGTCTTTATTTTTGGTCCTAATCTGCTAGAATTTCACCTACTGGAACAAAGTTTAGAACTGTTACACCAAGAATTCTGAATGAATAAAAGTAATTTATCTTACAAGTGACGACAAACTGAAGTGATGCTTTCTTTAGGCTGTGGGAGTGTGTTAAAGTTTAAGAGCTGTAATTTGTCACATTAGAAATCAACAGCAGAGGTGAAATAAATATATTATGAGGTAAACTATTTCATTTACTGATAAGTGTGCGTGTAATGATCGTGACTTCACAAGATTAAAGATTTTCGGCAGCATTACTCTCGTTTCCTTTGCAGCTGCAGTGTTGCATGTTATTTATAGATCTGTATCACCTGATTAGACGGAGCTCAAATGATCGATTTTGTAAAGTCAAAGAGTTAAATGACGCATCTAAAACTGCACAGAGCATGAAGCAGAAAGCCTGAGTTAATGAAGAAAACTGATAACCACCATTGTAACCCTTATCTCTTATCGGGGCTTCTAGGCTTTTATCAAGCCAGCTAACACAACCCCACCAATTATATTGAATTTGCTTTTCAGTACACCCCTCTGCTCGTGACAAACCAACAACATCTGAGAAAAAAATATAAAGCATTCGTTTAGCAGAAAAGAACTGTACACAATGTGGCATTTAGCTGACACAAGATAGAAATATGATTCTTCAAATTCTCCCTTTTCTGCCAGATTTTCACAGAAGAGTCTTTATTGTGAAATAGCTTTCTTGAAGGAATCACTCATTTGTCTGACATCAAACAACTGTTTGAAACGTACGGTGTAAAAAGTGTGGACATGATCATCAGCCCTATGAGTAACATGCCCTCCTGTGTGACAGGGAGATGAAAGATTTTTTTGCCCTAGGCACAAGTCTGGAATAAACACAGAATTAGCAAGTACTGATGTAATTCACTCACAACCCCCCCACAAGAAAACAGACTTGTGTCTACAAGCAGCCTGATAAGCTGTAACCGATTAAACTGCATCACACGGTGAAGATTTTAGTCCCAACATACTAAGGTCACATAGGCAGCAACTGGTCATCTCTCTCCTCTGGCTCTTCCTGTAAATTGTCTGTAGCCTCTCCCCTGTAAGCTGGCGATTCCTCTCGCTTGCGCGACCGGCACACAAAGTCACATCCATCCTGTAAGCACAGCGAAGAAAAAAACAAAAACAATTGTCCTTATTTATTTATTTATTTTTATTTCATCAGACTCTGACCTTTCACTGACGGTGTTCATCAATTAGATTTAGCTTACCGCTGCCAGGTTTCCAAACTCCACCCAAAAAGCATAATTGGGGAATTGCTCCACCCCTTTAGCTCCAACGATCACCCGCTGGTAGAGGAAACCTCCAACAAGGTAAACAGCCAGAAGAGAGAAACCACTGAAATGTGAGAGGTTATGATTATTGATCATCTGTAATATCACAAGCTCTCACATTCATTAAATTAACAGATGACTTTACATACATGATGAGAATAATGGAGCCAGTGCTGATAATGGAGCCAGTGCTGAGCTTGGACTCAATTACAGGACACACTGAACTGGTGTCCAACTCAAACAGATAGAAACAGTTTTCCTCCTTTTCCCTCTCCTCCAGACCCACCTCCAGCTTACTCTGGGAGAGAGAGTGAAACACAGGTGTATACAAAGTGTCTTTGTGCAACTTTCTAAACATGCAACATGTGTATAACATGTTTTTATTTCAATAACTCTACTGTTTAATACAAATAGGCTCATTCTGTGTTCCACTGTATTAAACGTCTTCGTCACTCTACTGTAAATATCCTTGCTTGGTTTCAGGTGTCTGGAAAGCCTTGAGCTTCACGGAAACATTATTCAGAGCGTCCTCATGGATCAAATTTCATTTTCACAGACCTGATGCAACATGCCGCCACGGCTGCAGCTGACTGCTTTTTGTTTCTGTTTTTTTCCTCAAACTCAAATCTGCTCGGCTAGAAGCTTTGCACAATTCTTTTACCACTTTTACATTCCTGTCGCAAGAGATCATAATGATGGCTTTCCTTTCTTCCTTATTGCAGTGTGCATCGTATTTTTCACCATTTGTGTAGATCAGCATCACCCAGTCACCTGAAAGGACACGTTTGATAAGATTTAGATTTCTACTCCTCAGAGTTGGCCTCAGGCTATGATGCAATTATGAATTATTTATCAGTTTCCAATACAGTTAAGATTCACGCACATGCCCTTACGGTCATGTCTGAACTAATAAGAGAATGTTTTTCGGATTTTGCATAGTCTTACTTCCTCCAATGGCCTGTGTATGCGTGTATTTGCCAATCACTGTTGTCTTCTGTGTTTTCTTGTCCACTTGAATAACCCCAGCATTGGGAGCACCCCCTGCATCCCCACATAACTGGAACACATATGTGTAGCTCTCGTTCGAAGCCTTGTCCTCAGCTGTAAAGCTGTCAAAAAAGAACAAATCCCAGAGAAAATTTAAATAAACATGGCCCATATAGATTCTTCCTTTAACATAAAATTATATTATTAAACACAACAGGGATTCCAAAAACATCTCATCTCCTAACAAGCACTGAATACGCTGGTACACAAGTGACTCATTCCTTACTTCTTTCCTACGAGCGGCTCTAGTCGCTCCAGAACTTTCTGCTGTAATGGACTGTGAGATAACAGTTTGCAGTCTTTGGTGCTCTTCACACTATACACCCCACTCACAGAGAGGACCAGATGAAATGCCATGATCCACATGAGGAACGAGATTCCTCTGCAGCTACTGAACACCTGGAACAGATGTTAGATGATAAAGAAAAAACAATCAAAATGGGCAATTCTCAATTGTGATTGCTTGCTATTTGTTTCATGTTAGTAGGATTACGTTTATTGTGAGACCATACAAACTGTCTAATGCAAGACTGTTTCATACCATTTACATTACAGTAATATAAACGGTGGCATTATTGAAATACTTGCGGTCAACAATACAAAGGCAGTGGAGATGAGCATCAGGGGTAATTTGTAACTGAAGGATAGTAGCAAGATTGAACGGGAAGGCTTACATGATTATAGTGAGATGGTAAAGGAGACAGTGGGTCTAAAATAGCAGGCACACAGGAGGTAGCAGAGCTGAAGATGCTAAGATCTTCAGTCAGAGTGATCAGAAGGGACAGGATTAGAAATGAGTACATCCGAGGGACGGCGGACGTAGAGCGGTCTAGAAAGATAGTTTGAGAGACAAGGTTGTGATGTGCAGAGGAGGGATTTTAGATTCATATGGAGCTGCCAGCCAGGAGAAAAGAGGAAAATCATGCATGTCGTGAAGGAGGACATGCATGTGACAGAAGATAAAGGTAGCTTAAGCTGAAAGCAGATGTGCTGTGGCGACCTCTAAAGGGAGCAACCAAATAAGAAGCAGAAACAACTGCAGTGTGGTAGCTATCCCTTTAAGAGCTGAAACAGTTATTGGGTAATGTCATAGTCATATGACAGAAAACTAGAAAAAGAAATATATTTAAAAAATTGAAAAACAAATATTTACTCATTTAATTTGAATATTCATCATCTGTTATATTCAGCTGAATTCTTTTGGGTTTTAAGACTGCTATCTAGAAAAAAATCTAAATATTTAGCAGCACTTTTTTTGATAATCGTCTGACACTTCAAAACACAATGAACCTGTTATGTTAGTTTAATGTGTACATTAAAATGAATCTGTGGCAGTTCTCATGCTTTTGACACCTTGTTACAGGTTGCAGGTTTTTGCATTAACACAAAGTACCTCAGTTATCAGGTACTTACATTTAATGCATTATTCCACAAACCGTTTGCGTTTTTTAACACCACAGTTCATAAAAATAGGTAAAACAAGGGAATACTCAAAGCTTCAGTGGTTAAACTTTGAATATGAAGCACCTTTCACATGCTTCCTGAACAAAGAGAGGGGAGTAAAGAGACGCCCACTTTCCTATTCATTTAAAAATTTAAAGACATAAAACATAGCACTAAACTAAAAGACAATAACGATATAGGAAATTCAGTTGTGAAAGGCGATGTTTGCAAGTCTTTCCTGAAAAGAAAGTATGCATCCAAAATGTCTGCTTCTATTTGCACGAGGCAATAAGTTTTACTGATGAGAAAACAGTCCGTTTATAATTTCTCTGACAAAGATGCTGCTTTGGCCTGGATTGCACACCTACCTTCATGATTTCCGTCACGGCGAATCAGCGGGGAAATCTTCTTTGTGAGAAATCTAACAGTTTATCATACAAGCTGACAGTTTAAACAGTTGCTCTGAGCTTCCTCACGCTAACGTCGCTTCCTGGTTGACTCAATTAGCAACTAGTCGACTCTTTAGATATGCGCATAAAACAAACTTCATCTGCGCGGAGTCTGTTTTATATTATTATTTTTAATCAACGTTTTCCGCCCTTTTAATTCTGCCCTGAAGAGATAACACGCTTTCCATTCAACTGTGCCCAAGAGGCTAACAGGCTAGAGATAGCGGTGAAGGAGTGCGGAAGTGAAACCAAACAGAGCAACACGCGCATGTGACAGTCCAAATGAAACTCAGCCAATGAAAGGCGGCTGAGGCCACGCACACCCGCGTCAGCTGACAGGGGAGCAAGCGTCACAGAAAGGTTTACTAAGTCACAGCGTCACCATTCATGGTATTTCTATGTCAGGCAAAAAAAAATTAATACATACAATAATAAATAAAATAAATACGTAAGTAAATAAACAAGATAAACAAAAAAATGAATAATAAATACATAATACATATAAATACAATAAAATAAATGCATAACTAATACATAAAATAAAACTAAAATAAATAAAATAAAGTAAGCAAATGAATAAATGCGCTTGATGGTATAATGTGGAGTTTTGTGTGCGCTGCTAAACAGAATTAAACAACTATTATTCAAACAAATGTATCTAACTAAAACCTGTAAATTTAATTGATCACTGATATAAATAGCAAATATTATCTTTATAACTACATAGTGGAAATTCTTGTTTGTTCAAACAATGTCACATGTGACATTGTTTGGAGTTATTTCTATGATTTAGATCCAAAAAACATATTTTGGTAAAGAAATCATAATTAAAGAAAATTACTTAATTTTAATAATAATATGTCATAATACACAATACTGTCTTGTGCTTCATTTACCTGACAATCTAATAAGATGAATTTATGTAAATACATGTTTTTCAAATTTGCTAAATGTAGTAAAAATTACATTAAAATCAACATTGCTTTAATTTAAAATGAGCTAAAAAAAAATTTTGACTAAGTATAAAAAATAATTTCAGTTTCAGTATTTAGTCAGGTGGTGAAGGTTTTCACTGTGACTCAGACTTTACATGATTGCCAGTCAGCTGCCGACAATAAGTATTTTAATTTGTATGGTATTACTTCCCTATCATGATCATTAAAAAGACTAAAACACTGAAATGAATCAAAATTAAGAAAACATTTCCGAACAATAAAAATAATTCACCTTCTTGATTGGAAAACAAAACTACTTTCTGGGGAGTGAGCATGCATAAATGGAATTAAAACAACTTTGTCTATCTAAAAAGGGTGTTATGGGCTTGGCACATGGTATCATACCTGATGAATATTGCAATGAAGTTGGATGAAAATATCAGTTCCTCGCCTGCAAAATTTTGGTTACTATAGACATCTGCTGCTGGAAATCAGACATCCAAATATTTATAGTTCAAGCAAGCCATCATTCTGTGTTAGCCTGAGCTACATTCCTGAGAATTCATATTCAGAGACATGAATATGTCAGATATTTACCCCAAAGGTTTTAAGGACCTAGCTCAAGACATTTATCCCAGATGCCTTGATTCTGATGTTTTAGACATTCTTTCAGCTCTGTTTGAAAAAGAGATCAATAAAAGGATTGAACATCAAGAAAATTCATCAGAAAACTTGTATCTGGTATCTCATTGTTTTAATTACCCAGGGATTGTGACTATAGGTGCACCTCCCAAGAAAAGTAACTACATGTCAGATTAGCACAGTCTACAGATGTTGTCATTGGCCTGTTCGGCACGTTCCTCCTGTCGATTTCCCAGTAATGAACATGGCTGCATTGTAACACTGAACAAACCCAAAAACCTATGCAACAGTGTACTAGAAGTTTGAGGCCACTCTGGTAAAAAAAACAATCATAAAACCTCACACCACCTGTCAACCTCAGTGGTTGAGCGATGATGATTTGGGTTTATTTTGCAGCCATAGAACCTGAGCACCTTGCAGTCACTGAGTCGACGAGGAACTCCTTTGTATACCAAAGCATTCTTGAGCCAAGTACAAGGGCAGCTGTTCAAAAGCTTAATCTTAGCCAGAACTGCGTCATACAACAGGGCAATGATCCCAGTTCTGAAAAAGAAATGAATCAAGGTGTTGCAATGGTCCAGTCAATAGATCTGTCTGACCTTAATAGAGCTGTGCAAGAAATGCCTGCAAACCTCAATGAACCGAAGCACCATTGTAAAGTTGTGGCAAAATTTCTGTGCAACTAAATGATAGACTCATAAAGTCATACAGAAAAGAATTATTTTAAGTTATTGACACCAAAGGTGCTTCTACAAGCGACTGAATCATGGGGTGTAGTTTCTCACAAGCTGCTTTTGCATTTTGTTAAATAAGGATGGGGGAATATGTCATATGTTGCTGTTAATGTCAGGTTGTATTTAGAGAATTTGAGAACATGCTAACGAACAGGTAATTTTTAATATGTTGTGATAAGTAAAACCTTAGAGCTGAAAGAGAGTGTACTTTCACTTTCACATGTCAGAATGTTTACTTGTGGATGACTGGTAGACCAACAACACAGATTTCCATTTCAAGATGGCATAACTGAGGTTACTGAAATATAATCATTACTCAGTGTTTTGAAAGGCAGATTAACCCCCACACTACTCTAGCGTAAACTAAACAATAGCCTCTAAAATTACCATGAACTTGAAATTCATTTAGTAACAGTGGTCAAGTATGGACTTGCTCAGCTTTCGTACAATGTATATACACACACACACACACACACACACACACACACACACACACACACACACACACACACCTTGATCACTGTTTCACTTCCCTCAGTATTTTTAGATTGATCTCTGACTGTGTGTTTGAGAATCTATGGCCCTCAGTGTCTGTTGCATTCTGCTGGATTTCACTAAAAGGTAATAAGCTGCACTCGCTATGCTTGAGACCAGTAAGTGTGCTATAAGAGCTCTTTCATTCCTGCATGCTCTGATTAGCTCAGCTACATCAGGCTCTTTGACTTCATTTACATTGTACGTACCGTCTTTTTTATACCATTTTCAGAAATATCAGAAAGTTGACTCTGTTCATCTGGATGTAGCATTTTCAGATCAACAGAATCAACTTTCTGGGATTTCCTTGCCTGAATGATTGAGCATTTATCGAGATCCTTTTTTAAAATGTCATTTTTAGCTCATCTGGTTGAAACACTTGTTGAGATGTTCGCGAGGCGGCCCTTCACAGTTGCTACTCTTCCTGCAGTATTGGTAAGATTTTAGTTAACCTTTCACACAAAATATCACCTAATGGACTTGCATCTAAATTAAGGTCAAGAGCGTATCAATTGTTTTATGAATACGTTTCCACTTTCATAAAAATCACTACTTCTCTTAGATTATTGGTCAGATTTTAGTGACATGAGATTAATGCATCTCGGATATGACTGTTTTTGAGGGTCTTTGAGTTTTCAGTGGATTTTAATCCTCATTAGCTTGTGCAATGCAGCCAATCCCCGACAAGGAATCCTATAATTTGCTTTCTGTACTTCTCACATTATAGCAACCTTTGAATAGTGATGGACCATGAGCTGGATGGACTAGTCTTTCCATTCAGGTTTTTTGCTTTAAAGAACTCTGTCTTACTATTTGGTTTGTTCATTCTCTGTTGTATCAGCCACCCTGAACTACTGATAGAAGGCAGGATGAATCCATGCCTTCATGTTGTTTACAGCATGTTGAATGTCACAGTAGAAATTGAGAGTCGTCAGACTAGGAAACATTTCTCCAAGCTTATGTTGTCCCAACGGGAATTTACCCGTTCTTAGCTGACAGGAGTGGCACTCGGTGTGGTCTTCAGCTATTTTAGTCCATCTCTTTATCATTATAAGTGGTTATTTGAGTTACTGTCGTCCCTAGCTGTCTGACCATTCTCCTCTGACACCAATATTTTCACCCAGAGAAGTGTCGCTCTGTGGATTTTTTCTCTTTCTGAGACCATTCTCTGTAAACTCTAAAGATGTTGGTGTGCGAAAATCCCAGTAGACCAGCAGCTTCTGAAATATTCAGACCAGCTTGTCTGGTCCTAACAACCATCCAACATTCAAAGTCATTTAAATCACCCATCTTCCTCATTCTGATGCTCAGTTTGAACTTCAGGTTGTCAGCATTTCTACATGCCTAAATGCAATGAAATCCTGTAGTTCACTGGTGAGACGCTGAGTAGGCATGCCTAATATAATAGGTAGTGCACAAATCTGTTTATAAGATTGGGGAAAGCTGCAATCAGCTGAGACTGAAGAAGTCACTTGGATAAGTGACAAAACGTTTCTCCCACTGAAAATGCTACGTCCAGATGAACAGAATCTACTTTTGGACATAAATCTGACAGTGATAAAATCTTCTCAAACGACAGAGTGCTGAACAAGTCATTTAAACAAGGTGTGGCCATGTATATAAAATCATCTGACAGATTTTAAAGTAAACGGATTTCCTTGTTATAAAGTAAATGGGAAAGGCAAAGTGTAAGAAACACCTTTCAGCTTTAAGTAAAATGCAGTAAAGTTGACTCATGGGGTGTAGTTACTTCTTGGAAGTTGGATCTGTTGCAGTTAGCCAGGTGTGTGTGTGTGTGTGTGTGTGTGTGTGTAGCAGACAGTATTTTTGTTTTTAAAAAACGTGGTGTTGTGCAAATTCGGTTAGCAAGTGCATAAAATCTGAGTGCAGCTGAAAGTGCAACAAAGTTGTGAAACAGGGCAGTGTGACAGTAATCATGTGGGTTTCTATTTAACAATGCTAATGAGAGTGAGTCACAGCATTTCAGAGCTTTCATGTCAGGCTTTCTCAGTAGTTAATAACCATAGTAAATTTGTCATTGTTATACAAATCACTCACATATCACCCCTCCCTTAGTTTCCCCCTCTGTGATTGCTTCATCTCTCTCTCTTTTTAAATCATAAGGAACAGTTGGTGTTTCTCCCTCCCTGCTGCCTCCCTCTGTACAACCTCTCCAGGGAACGCAGGCAAGTTTTACTAGGCTTCTGTTTGCTTTGCTCCAAAGAAGTTAGTATTTTCAAACCTACTTTCTTCCTCCCCTCCCCCACTCTCCTTCAGCGCCCTTACCTGGCTGTGTGTGTCCGTGTGTGTGTGTAGCGCAGACACACCCGACTACCGCATATCAACCAATCACTGATCCAAGAGAGGCGCTCCAAGGAGGTGTGCTTCCTGTACTTCGTGTGAGACAGGAATGGTGCAGGAGTGCGTAG